GCGTGTGCGCCAGCTGAATGGAGGCAGTTCCTGCAGCAAAGGGACCTGTCCAGGGTCACAGCGCTGCTTAAGGGGGCTTCAGGAGGAGCGGGTCTCCAGAAAGTGCCCCAAACCCCTGTGGTGTTTTGACTGAGCCTCTACCCGGGAAGCGGGTCTACCTGGAGCCCGTGCATGTGATCTTACTTGGAAGTGGAGTCTTTGTAGCTGTGGTTAAGGTGAAGGTCTCAAGGGGAGCTCATTCTGGGTTAGGGCAGGTGCTACCCTCTGTGAAGAAGGTGTCTTACAGGAAAAGACACACAGGCAAACCCGCGTGAAGGCAAGGGCAGAGGCTGCAGGGACGCGGCCACAGGCCGGGAGCGCTGGGGCCTCCAGGAGCCGGGAGAGGCAAGAAGGACCCTCCCTGGAGCTTCCGGAGGGAATGAGGTTCTGCCCACACCTTGATTTCAGACTTCTGGCCTCAGAACTGGCAGAAAATAAATTCCTGTTGTTTCGAGCCTCCCAGTTTGTGGCACTTTGTTACGGCACCCCAGGACCCTGACGTCCCCATCACAGGGTACGAGTGTGGTGGGGGCAGGCGGCCCCGAGAAGCTAGGGACCCAGGGACCTGGCACCTGCCCCCTTCTCCGGTCTCTAAGGAAGTTTCCAGTGTGGGGTTGTGGAGCGCGTGCTGGGCCTGCAGGGTGGTCACTGCCCGTGTGGGGTGGAACCCCTGGTCCGCTGAGGTTGCACGGAGTCTGTGAATAACTTGGCCTCTCCTTTTGCTGGGGTGTTTTCCGGGGCAGGGCCTAAAGTAATATTGAAAATACACTCACAAGCGGAAATGCCGGAAAAGAGGCCCCCTCCCACTGGGCCGTGGGAGCCAGGAGCAGACGGACACCTCCCCCCACCCCTGAACAGCAGGAACAATGGATCCTGGCCCTGAGGGCTCCAGAGGAGGGGCTGTGGGGGCGCTGCATCCTTCGTGACCTTGACCCCCACGATAGCCCAGGGAGGAGGCTGCTCCTATGGGGCAGCAGGAGCAGGGAAAAGGCCTGGGGGTCGGGTCGTGGGGAGGGGACGGGCGGAGCCAGGAAGGTGCCTGGACTGGGCGGGGGCTCGGGTTCTGGTGCAGGTGTGTGTGTGTGGGGGGGGGGAGTCTGAGGGAGCAGACGTGGATGCCCCCAGCCTCTCTTCACAGCTGTGTGGTGGGCAAGGGCAGCTCCCCAAGCATGGCAAGGCCCTGGCCAACCCCACTGCATCTGTGTCCCTGGGTCCAGGGACAGGAGGCCCCTCTGGGGGCTGAGCTGGCAGCACCCTCCTCCCCAGGCCCACGGGGTAGGGGGGCCGGGTCCTGGCTCCTTCCCTCCTCCCTGCCCGCATTCTGAGCCTTTGTGGGCTCCTCACCACGTGCCTGCCTCGGGGGTCCGGGGGTCCAGAGGGGCTAAAGAAGCGAGGTCATCTTGGGAAAGCCCCTCCCATCCAGCCCCTGGAGCCCAGGCCCTGCCCCTGCCCGCATCTCGCTAATTAGCAGCTCATTCTCTCTGTGTCTTTGTGTTTCTCTGCCTCTCTGGCAGGTTTTCCTGTGCTTTGGGCCCCCTTTCAGAGCACTTAACCAGGGCCCAGGAGCAGGGAGAAGAGCCCTGACCCTGTGTCCCCTTCTGGAGGGGAGGGTGGGCAGGGACTCCAGCTGTGTCTGGCCGTGGCTGTAATGCCCATGTGTGGGGAGATGTGGCACCAGGGCAGGGTCGGCCCCCCCAGGCCAGCCCTCTCACATCCCTCTGCATCCTCTGGGCAGGAGTGGACACAGGTGGGCTGTCTGGAGCTGCCCCAGAAAGACAGCCAGACGGTGACTCTTTGCGGGGGTCCAAAGTAAGCATTTTAAGATGGGGAGAGTACCCTGGTAGCCCCAGGTGCCATCGAAGTGCCCCCAAAAGAAGGAGGCAAAAAACGGTTAAAATGCTAAGCTGTGTTATGTATATTTTACCCCAAGTTGAAAAAGAGAGAGAGAGGCGAAGGGAGATTTAACACAGACTGAGGAGCCCACTTCAGGACAGGGGCAGAGATCCGAGGGACGAGGCCACAAGCCAGGGGACACTGGAGCCACCAGAGGTGGGAGGGGTCCCCTGGAGCGTCCAGGGGATGGCAGCCCAGCCGTACTGACCGTGGACTTCTGGGCTCAGAACTGGCGGGACCCTTTCTGCTGTTGAACCACCCAGCGTGCGGTCCCCATTAGGGCAGCCGCGGGACCCTCGCACGAGCTCTCCCAGCTGTTGGGGGAGCGGAAACGTCCGGAGAGATCCTCTCACTCCCGCCGGGTGGCAGGAAAGTGCCAGCTGTCCAGCCGCCCAGCCGCCCAGGCCAGGCCGCCATTGGGAAGTGAGTGTCTCACGGAAGCAGGTTCCAAGTGGCGTTTGTGGGGCATCTGTGACTCACGCCCTGTGCTGGGGAGGGGGCAGGGGGAGAACGGAGGAGATTCTGGTGGTGCCCAGGAATTGGTTAAAGGGCGTGGAGGTGAGTGAGGGGCCGCGGGGTCAGGGGAGAGTGGCAGCAACCTGGCCCAGGGAGACCCCACCCGGTGGCCCCCAGCCCCTCTCAGCTGGTCTGCTCAGCCCAGGAGTGTTGTGTCCTTCTGGTTATTAGGGCTCAAACTGCTCTTGATCCAGAATGGCTCCCGCCAGGTGCGGCCCCTCGGGATCTCCAGGCTGCCCAGGACCGTGAATACGATGAGATGTCCCGGCCAGGATCAGGATGCTTCGCACGGTGTCGGGGGCTGAGCTTCATCTCTCCTAAAGTCATGTGGTGGACTTTTGACCGCCTGAGCCTCCCCGCCCACCAGTGCCTCAGAAGTGACCTCGTCTGGAAACAGGGTCATCGCAGTTCATTAAGTGAGCATGAGGTCGTCAGGGTGGGCCCTAATCCTGTACGACTGGAGCCCTTTCACCAAGGGGGATCTGGAGACAGGCGCAGAGAGAAGACAGCCGTGTGCGGGACGAGGAGGCGGCCTCGGGAGCACAGCCCTGCCGGCGTCGTGGTCTTGGGCGTCCGGGCTCCAGGACCGCGGGGGAACGCGTTTCTGTTGTTTGAGCCGCGCGCCTGCGTTGCTTCTTTCCGGCGTAGCAAGGGACTGTGTGTGGTAATTCAGGTTACCGGTCGTCTGAGCGGGCCCCGTCCAACCACACGAGCCCTGTGGAAGCAGAACGTTTTCTCTGGCTGGAGCCCAAGAGGCAGAGCTTTGGGGCCCGGGGGAATTTGGCGCACCGTTCCTGGCTCTGAGGACGGGGGAGCCACGTGCCAAGGCGTGCGACGGCCCTTCATAAGCGAGCCGGTGACAGCCAGTGCGACAAAGGGCGCGTCCTGCAGCCTCCAGGAACTGAGTCCTGCCAGTGGCTGGATGAGCTGGCGGGCGGAGTCTTGCCCAGAGAGTCCGGCCCTGCCTGACACGCGTCGGCCTCGTCAGCCTCGCGAGGCCCCACAGAAAAGCCGAGCTCGGAAGAGCCAAGCTAAACCCTGCTCAGACGTGGAGCCTACAGCACCGTGAGATGATAAAGGGGTTGCTTTAAGTGGTGACGTTGGCAATGATTTGTTACACGGCAACGGCAGCCGATACACCTCTTTCCTGCAGAACATTCGCCGTCTGTGTGCGTCTGGGTGCCTCTTCCAGAGCAGCTCAGTCTGCCCCTCTGCCTCCGGTGTTCCTCACAGGCTGGCTGTCGGGTCCAAAGGCCGGGCAGACGATTTAGGTGAAGGGACATTTTAGGTGACATGTGGCCACACGCCTCCTGGTTTTCCCTCCACTGCGAGGATAGCTGGGTTAGGGACAGCAGCACAGCCCTGCACATCACCCCTGCTGGCAAGAGGGACTTTGCAGATGTGATGCAGGTAAGGCTCTTCACGGGGGGCAGGGGACGCTCCTGGATGGTCACTGTGGCCCAGTGCTGTCACAGGGTTCTCGGAAGAGGGAGGGGGAGGGGCTGAAGCAGAAGTCACAGCGGCGTGAGGAAGGGACCCTGAGAAGCTGGCAGAGGTGGGGGGTGTCCTCCCCCAGAGCCTCCAGAAGGAACCAGCCCTGCCCACACTTAGATTTTAGGCCTCTGGGCTCCGGACTACGAGACGGTAAATTTGTGTTGTTTTAAGCCAGTAACTTTGGGGTGATTTGTTACAGCAGCAGCAGGAAACCCATCCACCGTGTTGTAATCATTGCCCATCCTGATGCTCAGCTGCCCCTGCTGTGTCCGCTGAGAGCCCTGCCCGCTGGGTTCTGTACCTTTCCTCCCCAATTTTTTTTATTGTGAAAAAAACACATAACAAAATTTACCACCTTTTTAAAAAAAATTTTTTTAAGGTTTATTTTATTTTTGAAGGAGAGAGAAACAGAGCGTGAGCAGGGGAGGGGCAGAGAGGGAGACACAGAATCCGAAGCAGGGTCCAGACTTCTGGCTGTCAGCACAGAGCCCGACACGGGGCTCGAACTCACAAACCGCGAGTTCGTGACCTGAGCCGAAGTCTGACACTTAACTGACTGAGCCACCCAGGCACCCCTAAAATTAATCGTCTCAAGGGCACAGTTCAGGGGCATCAAGTGCATTCACACTGTCGTGCAGCCGTCCCCCCGTCCGTCCCCAGAACGTGTTCATCTTCCCAGACTGGACTCTGTCCCGTTACACGTGGACCCTCCCCTCCCCCAGCCCCACCCTCCCGCTCTCCGTGTCCGTGGCTCCGACTCCTCCAGGGCCTCCTGTGAGCGTCCACTCCTACAGGACGTGTCCCCCTGTGATGGGCTGACGTCACTCAGCACGGTGTCCTCCGGGTTCGCCCACATGCTAGCAGGTGCCGCGATTCCCCTCCCTTTTGAGGCTGACATTCCCTGGTGTGGGCGACCACGTCTTACGTACCCATCCTTCTGTGGCCCATCTGATGGACCCTTGGGTTGCTTCCGTGTTTAGCTGTTGTGAGTGACGCTGCCACAAACACGGGTGTGCAAATATCCGTTCGAGACCCTATTTTCAGTTCTGCGGGCATACGCCCCAAAGCGGAGCTGCTGGGTCACACGGTAATCCCGCTTCTCGGGAAGCCCCAGACCCTCCCACGATGCCTGCAGCGTCTCACGCTCCCGAAAACAGCACACGAGGCTCCCATCCCCCACACCCGTGCCGGCACCTTTATTTTCCATTGGTTCCAGAGCAGCCGTCCCGGTGAGTGCGTGCTGGTATCTCGTGGTCGTCTTGAGGTGTGCTTCCCCAGTGATCGGTGGCATTGAGCATCTCTTCACGGGCTCATAGGCCCCCAGGCCGGAGCCTGGGAGGTCTAGCTGTGGTCCCGGGGACAGCCCGGGCGCCACCCCAGCCGGGCGATCAGCACACCCTCTGGTTCGCCTCTCGCGGAGTGGGGCTGCGGGTGAGGACTCCCAGGACCCCGTGGGCACACACCGGTGTGGCTCGGGAGGGTGGAGGCAGGGGCCTCCCCTGGTTCCCCTGGGCACCGCTTCAGAAAGTCCGCGATGCCGGGCCTGCGCCCTAGGCCTGCTGCTTCAGGGTCGCCCCTTGCTGCCTTCTGCCGTTTCCACATCTTGCTGGGTTCCGGAGGCTCCTGGGCCAGCCTGCCCACCTGCCCTCACACCTCCAGACATCACACCCGGACCCCGTGGGCCGTACCTGCCCTGGGGCGCCCCTCCGGCCCAGCCGCCCACG